TCCATCCGTCCGAGGTGGGTAAAATGAGGACCTGGATTGTTGTTGGGGGCAATATGCTGACTCTGTAAACCGCTTAGAGACAGCTGAAAGCCCTATGAAGCGGTATATAAGTCTAACTGCTATTGCTATTATCTCTATCACTCTCTGTATAGCTCTATCATTTGCCTATCTATCTCTCTATCTCTTTATCTCTCTATTTATTCAACATGTCTGTTATCTCTATCTAACACTCTGTATATATCTATCATCCCTCTCCCTCCCTCCCTCCCTCCATCATCTATTAAGAGCCGAGGTGGCGCAGTGGTTAAATGCAGTTCGGCTGTTCAAATCTCACCGGCTCAGGGTTGACTCAGCCTTCCATCCGTCCGAGGTGGGTAAAATGAGGACCTGGATTGTTGTTGGGGGCAATATGCTGACTCTGTAAACCGCTTAGAGACAGCTGAAAGCCCTATGAAGCGGTATATAAGTCTAACTGCTATTGCTATTATCTCTATCACTCTGTATATATCTATCATCCCTCTCCCTCCCTCCCTCCCTCCATCATCTATTAAGAGCCGAGGTGGCGCAGTGGTTAAATGCAGTTCGGCTGTTCAAATCTCACCGGCTCAGGGTTGACTCAGCCTTCCATCCTTCCGAGGTGGGTAAAATGAGGACCTGGATTGTTGTTGGGGGCAATATGCTGACTCTGTAAACCGCTTAGAGACAGCTGAAAGCCCTATGAAGCGGTATATAAGTCTAACTGCTATTGCTATTGCTAAAGGTGGCTCCTATTTTTCTACTTGTATTTTTTATGTGCTTTCGAACTGCTAGATTGGCAGAAGCAAGGATAAGTAATGATAGCTCACTCTGTTATGCGGTGCTAGGGATTCGAACTGCCGACATTTCTGATCAACAAACTCAGTGTCTTAGCCACTGAGCCACTGCATCCCATAGAAAACCAAATAGAAGCAAATTGACCGCAACCAACAAGAACCAGCATGTTCGTTTGGTGGCAGTTATCAAGTTTTACCTCTAAAGGTTGCAGAACCTGCCACTAAGCAATTCATAATCTAGGAATATCTGTGACTCATTTCAGTGACTTGAGGTGAGTGTCTCGTGATATGTTTTTTATATCAGGCTGTCAGTACACAGGGCCAATTACAGAGCAGAAAGTCCTTTCCTCAAACAGCGTGGAATATGAATGTTTCTTGAGAAAAAAGTGCTCCGTCCATCCCAGTGATAAGCTTTAGTAGAAATGTTGGATTTTTAAAATGCCGGAATGCTATCACTGGAATTTTGGTCGTGTTTTCATCAACAAAACAGCGCAGACTCGTGACATTTTGTCATTTCTAGCCATTTTAATTTGGGCTGTGATTTTTCTTCAGAAGCAGAGAAAATTGTCTTACCGTAGATCAGTAATTCTTAAACTATTTGAACCAATTACTCCTTTTCCTGGTCTTGAATGCCATTACTTCCACAAAGAACCCACAGATAATTTAGCAATAGCACTTAGACTTATATACCCCTTCACAGTGCATTGCAGCTTTCTCTGTGCGGTTTACAGAGTCAGCCTCTTGCCCCCAGCAATCTGGGCCCTCATTTTACTCCACCTTGGAAGGATAGAAGGCTCAGTCAACCTTGAACCTGGTGAAGATTTGAACTGCCTAACTGTAGCTAGCAGTCAGATGAAGTAGCCTGCAGTACTGCACTCCTAACCACTGTGCCACTACGACTCTCTATTACCCCCCCAACATATTGTCAAATTACCCTCTCGTGTATTTATCCTCACTTGAATGGTTTAGAATCGTGTTTGGGAATTTCTGAATGGACTCTGTGTTACAGTCTTCCCAAGTGTTTTGTGGTAGAAAGGGCTTCTGCGCCTCCTAATTGCTAAGCCCTTCTTGTGTGTATCCTTCTAGTTCACTCACTAAGCAGGTGGTCCTCAAATTGTGACCACATTTCAGCTCCAAATGATGTTGCTGAGTGAAACATGTTTTTAAAGTGGCCCCTTTTATGACTTTCCCTGTCGTAGTTGCTAAGAGAATCATTGCACTTGGGCGTAACCTGGTTGTTAACTGAATCTGGATTCCCTACTGACTTTGCTTGTCAGACGTTTGCAAAAGAGGATCACTTGGCCTCCCAGGACACTGTGACCGTCATAAATATGAATCAGTTGCCAAGCATCTGGATTTTGATCATGTGACTACAGGCTAGATGCTGCAATGGTTGTATGTGTGGAAAACGGTCATAAGTCTTTTTTTCAGTGCTGTTGTAACTTTGAACAGTCACTAAATGAACTGTTGTAAGTCAAGGACTACCTAACCAATTGCAATGTGAAAAACAGGCCAAACGTAGCCTTCAGCCCAGGAGGAGGAAGAGGTCTGCCCATAATTGCATGCAGAACATCCTAAGTTTTGGCTAAAACAGTGGCTCCCAATCTTTTGGGCACCAGCAACTGGAGAGAGATGTTTTTCCCGTGGACCGGAGGGAGCATGGTTTCGCATGTTGCCTTCATCTCACAATGGGGGCTTTGCTTGTTTGTATGTCAGGGTAATAATGATTTAATAGCTGACCAGCTGCTATGATGATGTAATGCTGAGAATGAGTCTGCAAGGTTTTTGGGCTGATATCACTTTAAGAGCCTGTAATAAGAAGAGGCCCTGTTGAGGTGTATCTCTCTCTCCATGTATGCTTCCATGCTGTAATTGCTGATTGTTTGTTTGTCTGACTAAAGTACGTGTATGTATATATTCTTTGTAGATAAAACCACTGTTTAAATACAAACCTCTGTTTACTGTATTTGCTCCTGGGTTATCTCACATAGTCACACTGTGCGCAATCTGACAGTGTGGCCTGGTTTCTGGCATGCGATGGCTCAGTGCCAGTTCAGAGACTGGGGTTTGGGAGCCCTTGGTGTAGAACATTTGCTACCTTGGGTAGGAAGTGACAGCCTGTTGCTACTCAGAATAGACAATCTGAATCTTTCTAGGGAATGAATAACTGTTTTCTTTTTTTCAGTTTCTACTTCCTTATTCACCTCTGGCCTTTTGTCCTTCCTCTCTTTTCCCAGTGAGCAGCTCTTCATGCAGATGGCTGACCGGATGGCGTCAGAGGGATGGAAAGATGTTGGGTACCGTTTCCTGTGCATCGATGATTGTTGGATGGCTCCCACTCGGGATAAACAGGGACGGCTACAGCCAGACCCCAAACGCTTCCCCAGCGGGATTAAGAAACTCGCAGATTATGTGAGTGGGTCCTTGGGAATTTTTTGTCCTGGGAGCTTCTTCCAACTTGGGGTGGCTGGAAAATTCAGGAATGCTGGATTGATGGAAACCTCTTAATTCAATTTCTCTCTAGAGAAGGTGGGAGAGGTTTCCTAAACAAAACCCATTTATATTTTGCCTTCTATATTAATTTCTAACAGCAAACCCTAAATTACTCTCCTAACTCACTGTCTCTACAATTCCATAAATATCATTCTGCTGAGTCAACTCAAAAAGACCTAACTTGGGGTGGAGTTTGACTCTCTGACGGCGATGAATTGTTTTTCTCAAATCTTGGAAAAATGGGACATCTGATTTGTTGTCTGTCTTCGGCAACTGATATTTAAAGGTAGACTACAACAGTGGGTGGGTGGTTTTACTTGGGTATTTCCTCTAGTATGTGTTAATAATTTAAGTGCTGTATTTTTCGGAGTATAAGACCCACTCCCCCCCCCCAAAAGAGCGTGTGTCTTATACACCAAATGCAGCCAAAAACGGGAGGCACGGAGGAGGCGATGGTCTGTGGCAATCCCTGCAGCCTGCAACAGCTGAGTGGGGGTATTCCAGGAGGCCGATCCACCTGCCAATCAGCTGCTCAGGCTGAATCAGGCTGCAATAATGCGCTGAAGCTGACCTGGCTGTTCGCTATTTGCTGCAAAGATGCGTCAGAGTTTGGAGCAGCAATCACATTCAGAAAGCACACACAAGTAACTGATTCAGCAGGATTCATTAACTTCTCTCTATATAATATAACACGTTAAGTAAATGTACAATACCAAAAGCAGCTTTTCCAACGTGGTAGTTCAGCAGAGGAGAGAAGTTTCACTTTCAGTTTTAGTTTCAGA